TGGGGAGATCTGTGACCCCCCCCGTAAGAGGCTGTGTTAGATGGACAGCAAAATTGGCCAAAGATATTCCATTCCATATATCTACGTAAGCTCAGAGGAAGGTCAGAGATCACAGAAGACAACTTCCTTCCTTCTTCTTCTCCCCTTCTCTTCGGTCCATGGCCGGTGTCCGGGGAGGACTCTGTTCATCCATCACCGTCGATCCTCAGGCTTGATCTCTCGTGACCCCCATAACTCTCTGCTTTCTCCAGCAGCAGCTTCGGGATTCCTCGGGACTCTTCCCAGTTCAGGGAAGTGCTGTGGGAGTTGCTGGGGTGGGGGGAGGCGAGAGGCTTTTGCCCATACCTGAATATATCTGTATATAATTGTATATATTTTCTTGTATGATTCATTAGTGTTTTAATTAAAGCTGTGTAGTTTAGTTTTCAATCCAGCCAAGTCTCTCTCTTTTTCTCTCTCTCCTTCCCTACCTGGGTGGGGGGGAGAGGGGATCGAGAGCATTGTTGTCGGACCTGAGTCAAACGGTGACAAGGGTGGTCGGGCATGCTTTAGTGACTGAGGTTGTGGGTTTTTTTGTGGGTGTTATTTGGCAGAGTGTGTGTGGTGTTTGTTTGTTTGTGGTGGTTTTTTTGTGTTGATGGTTGGAGTCAAGTCCTTTCCAACAATGATGACTGTGTGAATACATTTTTGTATTTTATATGTAACAGTCATGCTACTTGAGAGTATTGATGTAGACTTACTGGTGAAACAGGTATGGAACAAAGATACATATATACACTAAGGTGTGTTAAATAAGAATTTGCTCCTGCCTAACTACTGTTTGATTATATTTGCCACATTTAAAAAGCACCCAAGTGCCATGGGCTTTCAGCTTGGATTGCGTAGCTTGTGAAGCCAGGACTGGCAGTATCAGTCTCAGCAGCTGAACTGTGGAAGCTTATTCTAAGTGAAATTCAATTGTTTTTTTGAGATTGGAGAGAGGAATTTTCTTTCTTCTTTCCTTTCCTTCTTCCCCTGTGTGTGAAGGTTGGCATTCTCAGTAACACTAACAAATCTAATCACTGTTTTTGACAAGTTAACATCTAGTAGTACTAGGATATTTCTAAATGGAGTTTTGATGTGAGCCCTTGCTGCTTTCAGGTGAGAGTCATGTTTGTTCTATGGGAAATAGAGGGGTAGATGGATCCAGGTGACCCATATTTTGCAGCACTGCTCCTTGGAAATTTTCAAAGATACTCTTTAATCTTTTCTTCGGTTTAATCATCTGCCCTATTTTCTCTGGGATAAAATCAATTTTATATTCCAAGTGCAAGGTCCTGCACGTGGGTTGGGGCAATCCCAAGCACTAATAGAGTCTAGGAGAAGAATGGATTGAGAACAGCCCTGAGGAGTATTTTGGGGTGCTGGTGAATGAAAATCTGGACATGAGTTGGCAGTGTGTGCTTGCAGCCCAGAAAGCTGTATCCTGGGCTGCATCAAAAGAAACATGGCCAGGAGATCAAGAGAGGTATTTTCCCCCTCTACTCCACTCTTGTGAGACCCCACCTGGAGCCCCCAAACAAGAAGGAGATGGAGCTCTTTGAGCAAGCTCAGAGGGGGCCACAAAGATGATCAGAGGGCTGGAGCACCTCTCCTATGAGGACAAGCTCAGAGAGTTGGGATTGTTCAGACTGGAGAAGGGAAGGCTTTGGGGAGACCTCACAGTGGCCTTCCAGTATGTGAAGCAAGCCTACAGGGAAGCTTGGGGGGGAACTTTTCAAATTGGAGGTGGGGAGATTTAGTTTAGACATTAGGAAGAAATTCTTTAGTGTGAGGGTGGTGAGACACTGGAACAGGTTGCCTAGGGAAGTTGTGTCTGTCCCCTCCCTGGAAGTGTTCAAGGCCAGGTTGGATGGAGCTTTGAGCAACCTGGTCTAGTGGGAGGTGTCCCTGCCCATGCAGGAGGGTTGGAACTAGATGATCTTTAAGGTCCCTTCCAACCCAAACTATTTTATGATTCTATCAGAAAAGCAGTATTTTTTTAGAAGACTGCACCACCTAATTCCATGAGAGCCGAGTTTGTAAGTTGCTGTTGTATTTGTGGCCAGCCATGGTATGCAGGTTTCCACAGCACTTGAGGTGTTCAGCAGTTGGAGTTAGCTGGCTGCTGGGTATGGGAGGAATGAAGCCCAGGGTAGCTGACCCAAGCTGGCCAACATAAGTGCTCCATACCATAAATGTCACACTCACTATACATTAGGAAGTCTGCTGGGGGTGGGTTTCTTTCCTCAGTGCCCACTGTCCCTGGAGAGTCTTTGCGTTGTTCTGTCCCCTCCCTGAAACCCCTTGTCCTGTTTCCTGTGACTCCCACTGGAGCTGTGGTGCTCACAGTATTGGATGTCTGGCATCCCTGCTGGCAGCACCCAGTTTGCTATCTCTGTATGGGCTGAGTATAACTTTATGTATGATTTTATGTTAGTATCGGGATTAATATAGCTTATTGTTACTATTTTATTAAATGTTTCCATTTCAACCCATGGGTCCCTTTCCTTTTCCTAGTTCCTCTTCCCGGGTGGGGAGGAGTCACTGGGTGATAGGAACAAACTGAAAGAAGACTTCAGCTGTGCTAGCATTAGCAACAAAAGCTCCCAACTATGACTTTGTGTCTGTTTGCACGTGACCACTTTGATGGGAGAAATGTGTTAGACTTCCTGGCTGATGGTAGGACAGCATGCCATGCTTTATTATAAGTAGCAGCCTATAGGAATGTTTATATCAAGTGTGACTGATATTTTCATTTCATTCTGGCTCTGACTGGAGACAAAATAGGCTGTGTTTTACTGTGAAAGCCTTGCTGCCGTGTGATGGAAAAATTGTGGTAGATTTCATTTTCTGTTTATCTGAACTCTCTGATTTCAGTAAATCTATGAGGCTGTTTTAGACAAAAGAACAAAACCCAAAACAAACAACAATGCATTTTCAGTGTATTTCAGTTATTTAGCGGGGTAGGGTTTTGCCTGTAATCCTATTTATGAGGCGACTCAGAGCTCAGAAAGAGTTCATGAAGGTTTTTTTACTGTTTAAACAATTCAGGTCATGTTTTATTCATACACTTTCACAAGTTTTCTTGATGTGGGCTGCAATCAAGATCTTTATTATGTTCTTGCAGTGAGGTTATTGTGAAATGTTCCTTAGATGACAGTGTCAACTTGGTGTGAGTGCAGTAAAATCTGGGTAATGTTAACTATTTCTCTTCCAGGTCGAGAGTTCATTATCCCCTCGTTGGCACACAGGTTCATCGCCGAGATGGTGGATTTTTTTATTCTGTTCTTTATAAAAGCAACCATTGTTTTAAGTATTATGCATCTCAGTGGAATAAAGTAAGTTGAACCATTTAAAGCTTTGTTACATATGGCTTTAAGGTCTTCATGCTCTTTGAGGTGTCATGTGTATATGGCATGCTTATGTGTGTGATGGCACGTAACTGTCAAAAGTTGAGGAAGAAGCCTCCTTTTAAATACTTAATGATTTTGGGTCAGCTTGTGGAAACAAAGACTTTGGACAAGTGTCTCTATAGGCTCACAAGCTCCTCACTAAGCATAGATTAGACTTGCATGCTTATTTCTGGGGGCAATAGCAAGGTTTTTTAAAAGCTCATTTAAAATTTCAAAGAAAAAAACACATTGTCAAATTTTTTTTTTTTTAAATAGCCTTTAAAAATTACTAGATCTGGCTGGGGTGGAGTTAATTTTATTCTTAGCTTCTCCTGTGCTGCTGCGTTTTAGATGCAAATGCTAACCTGCTAACCCACAACACACACACAAAAATCAGATACTGTGTGTCAGGTAAGTATGTACTTTAAAAATACAGCCTGCTAGGAGTGCTGCCTTGCTGCAGACTTTACTGGGCTTGAGTTGGGTTTCTTAGGAAGTGTGATTAAGCATCATGTGTATCAACTAGACTGAAAGTCTTCATTTTACATTTTTGTACTCATATGTGATAATTTACCTCAAAGACTGTTCCTTACTTATCTGGTTCTTTAACTATAGATACTTTATTCTGTCGCTGATTTAGTTCCTCTGCTTTGGGTTGGTGTAATTGACTATTTTGTTCTGATTAGGAGATGAGAGCTTGGTGTATATATATGTATACTGTATGTATATTGCTTCTGTAGAGTAGTGAAGGTGATGGAAAGAGAGGGAGTCTTATTCAATTAATTTAGTATAGTCAATGTTACTACTTTTGCAAGAGCCAGTAAGTTGCTTACAAGTAGCTTCAGTAAACTTTCTGGGTTTTTTTTGCTCATGAGATGTGGTGTGCTTGAGGCTAGGCTGAGGAGTTGTCATGGAAAAAAAAATGTGTCCTTCCAGGCTCAGGACAGAGGCTTCAGGTCAAGGTTGGGTTGAAGGGAAGTGCAGGTTGTGTTGTGCTATTTCCTTCATTCCTTATTTGAATAAAGAGGAGGGAAAGCAGTTCAAACATAGATGTACTGTTTTGAAGAGGGACTGCACTTTTCTGTGAGTAGTAATTCTCATTTAGATGTGTGAGTGGAAAGTCCTTGCTAAGCACACATTTCAAGTATGTTTTATTCCAGGTAGTAGAGAATATTGACTCTGTAGACTGTATCTTGTGAAAATACGCAATTGACTCCAAACGGAGTGCAAACAGTTGAAGGTTGCAGTTGCTGTAAGTTGAAACCTTCCTCTTGCATGCCAGGGTGCCTGCCTCTACAATGTGGTGAGCAGTCAAAATTATTGAGAATGAGGGAACCCTGACTGGGCAAAGGGAGGTCTCCCTTGCTTGCTTAGGAAGACTTGCACCTTCTTCCTTTCATTTATGGAGAAGAGTGCCACCTTTTCTTGAGTTTCCTGTAAGGAAGAGACTTGGATGCCTTCCATTTGTAAAGTTAATGATCAGACATAGAATCTCTTGTTGATGTCAAGTGTGAGAATTTTCAGAAGAGTTCTGCAGCTTGCTACCTATGGACACCATTGTGCAAAAGAGTTAATAAAGATGTTTTCTTAATAAAAACGGGAAAACAAAGTAGGCAGCAACTTGGAAAGGAACCTAGTGTTCTGAATTGTAATGGCTTGTTTAGGATCAGAGAAGCCAAGGAGCTTTTGTTCTTTTTAGTAATACCAGACCTGAAGGAGTGCAGTACTAAAGGTGTACCATTGGTATTGGGGGAAGGATGGTTTTTAAAGTTCAGTCTGATTTTGTGCAGGGACATCTCTAAATTTGCCATGCATTACATCATAGAAGAAATAGATGAAGATACATCCATGGAAGATTTGCAGAAAATGGTGGTAGTAGCTCTTATCTACAGGCTACTAGTCTGCTTCTATGAGGTAATTGCTTATAAACATTCTTAATTTATGTAATTAATAATTGTCAGTTGTTTAATAAACGTTTGGAAAAAATTCTGTCAGCATTGGCCTATAAAGTAAATCCTCATGACGGTATCTTGGATTATATTGAAGCTTCTGACTTTGATGTAGTTCTGATGAAAAATAAGTTTGCTAGACCAGTCAGCAACATGGTGTTGCATGGAATTGAAATAACTTCTCTTTCACAGATAATCTGTATTTGGGGAGCAGGTGGAGCAACACCAGGGAAATTCTTGCTTGGACTGCGAGTTGTGACATGTGATACATCAGTACTTATAGCGCCCAGCCGTGTGTTAGTCATTCCATCTTCTAATGTCAGTATGACAACGTAAGTGCTCTTAGCTCAGACCTTGCTTTTAGGTTAGTAGCATGGAAAGTGTGTGATTTAGGAGGAAATGCACCATTTCTTTATTATTGGCCTTGCAATAATTATATTGCCAAGATATAGTAGAGTCTGTCATCTAAGAATAAAATAGCAATTACTCAATCATGTCCCCAGTTTTCTGGTTACGTGGTAAAATAAGCTGCTCTAAACTGTGGAGATTGATTTTTGTGCTGTGCAAAACTGAGGCACTAAACTTGAAAGTAAACTACCTGCTAATCTAAGCAGAAGAGTGAAAATAAGACACTGAATGTTTTATTCTCATTTCAGGTCCACAATACGAGCTTTGATCAAGAATTTTTCTATTGCTTCATTTTTTCCTGCATTCATTACACTGCTGTTTTTCCAGCATAACAGAACAGCCTATGATATTGTAGCAGGGACTATTGTGGTAAGAAGAAATGGAGTCAGATGATGCCAAGAGATGAGATTTCCAGACTGGTCTGGAACATCCCCCTCCTACCCCCAATGAACAAAGACCTACTGCAAAACTGAAATTGAGGTGTCTGTCAGAATCTTTTGCCCAAATTAAATGGGAACTGATTTAGAAGCTAAAGAAAATGTTTTGCTCCAGTGTGATGCCAGCAGCTACCTTCAAAGTATTGGAGTTTTCATAAAGGCCAAAGAAGTCTGGGAGAACCAATGTGTATTATATCAGGAAGTATTAACCTCAGATGTGAAAGAAGGTGGCTGTATTAACTGCAGACAGGAGCTTCTCTTTGTGGAAAGCAGATACCTAGAAATATGCTACCTTAAAAGAAATGTCACTCCTACAGTTACGGATGTTGGCAGGTAACTAGAAAATAGAGTTATTTTCCAAGCAGTTACCTAAGTCATATGATAAACTCCGAAGGGAACAGAACTGCTGTATTAGACAGTAAGGCAAATCACATTAATTAAATTGCCATGGGTGTAGAGACATGAGCAGTGCTTATCATGTCCCTTACTGTTGCTTCACAGATCATACTCCCTCAACCTCTTTTAAGTATTTTATCAGAAGATTGATGTGAAAAGTTTTTCGCATGATTGTCTCAAGCACTATCTATTACTGCACATGTCAAAGCTAATAAAGAGGTGAGATAACAGCTGCATTTTCTCTGGGAAGGATATGTTACGCTGCAGTGTTAGTGAAGTGATGTGTGTAAATAATTTTTGAACTATGAGCAGTACAGATCATGCTAATGAAAGGTAACTTTTTTTGCTTCTGTTTGGAGTGAAAGCAGTTGTCTATTCTTGCATATATTACTAAGCAAAACAACCATGTGTTTCAGGAGCATGCAGGAAACATGAACTATGTTATGGGTGCAAATCTGCAGAAATACAAATACTGGTTATTTTCACTTTTTAATTCTGGCTAAATGTATATTCAGAATAACTTAAATACTGAATAAAGAAGCCTAATATTTTGCATGATTAAATACTTTATTTGTTTATTCTCATGTTAGTATCTTGAAATAGAAATATAAGCAACACTGTTAAAGTTTTATTAAAATTCAAGAATTGTTGGAAAAATTGGAATTGTTCTAGAGCCCAGTTTTTGTGTGTCCCTCCCATAGGTGTAATTTGACACTCAGTGTCCAAAGTTCTCACCCTACCTTCACCTTTGGACAATGGTTTAGTTGACAATAGAAATGTTTGAAAGCTTGGTTATCTCTCATCTTCCAGTGAAATAATTTAACCAGTAACATGTTAATATTCTGCAATACTTTAGTTTGAAAAGTGATCTGTGTATGCATTCTGATCTTCATTTACAGTGATGTTTCAGGACTAGAGACACTGCTTTAATAGGGGGAGGGACATTTTCCCACCAGTTGCCTCTCCAGAATGAAGTCGCTACCTCTTTAGATCACACCTTCCAGATATTTCTGAAATTAAAAAAGTCTTGGCTAGAGTCTTGGCATAATTATGAAGTGTACGTGTAGCAAAACACCTCATATTTTTGAGGTTTACTATTGGTTTACATTCTATTACCAAAAAAAAAAAAAAAGACTTCGGTGTCTTAAATGTACCATTAGCATTAGAGCAGTGTTACTGCCAGGCATCACTGAAATGTGTCTCAGCAATAAGTGGCAATAAGCAGGCCTGAATAAAGCACCCTTTGGAGGCTGTTAGCCCACTTGAAGGTGTTTAGCAGTCACATCACCCACTTCAGAGATACCACTCAACTGTTTTAAGAATTGTACTGTTGACTTAGCACTGAAGCACTGAAGTTCAGATATGGCAATCAACCGGATAGAAGCTAAAGCTGTTGGAACTATAACGTAAGTCCTTTCTAGGGTGAGTTTTGCCTATTTACACTTTCACTATGAATACAAAAGGAACTTTTGTTACATTTACTGTAGCAGTGACCTAGAAACCAGGCTTCAAGATCAGGGGGAGGAAAGAAAAAGCAACACTGCTGGCTGAAACTTTTTTTTGCTGCCAATATAAATATCAGGGAAAGTACCTTCTACTCTGTAGAAAAATACCACCTTCCACAGCAGGTAGAAAAAAAAAAATTACAGTTGAAGAATACAGAGCTGCTCCATAAAAATATGTATACATTATACTGTTCTAAAGACTAGCTTTTATTTGTTTCTTATGCAAGGCTCCCTGAAGATGCAGCTTTTTTCCATTTGCAGAATGAGTACTTGGCAGGTGATAGAGCTAAGGGGAAAAAAGTGAAATTTGTGGCACTTTCCAGATTTAGCCACTGGGAAATATGTATCTGCATATAATCCCTCCACAGCAGCAGGGCATGACTTTCTGAATGGTAACTTACTGAGTAAAGCAACTTTTTCCTCCTCAAGTTAGAATGGTGGTGAATGTTTGTAACATTAATTTTTACAGAGCTATTAAAGAAAGCTAGCTACAACCACTGGAGCCAGAGAGCTGACACTACAAGCCTAAGTCTACAGTAAAACTCTTTCCTAACAGGGAACCTCTAACTAATTTAAGATACTTTAAAATCAGAATTAGTGTCACTGTCAAAAAGCAGAAAGTATGTGACATCACTCAGGTTAAGTGCATCATCCTGTACAGTCACCACTGCCTTCATATATAGTTAAAACTGCCAGACAATCTTTCATCGTTTTTATTGATGGCATTTATCCCATGGTTTAACATGTTAATTATACTGTAATAAACATGGCTTTAATATTAAACTTTTCCTTATTATCCAAAGTCACCACAGTCCATTTCAGTAAATATAAAAATATATACTTAATACTTTGTACAATACTGGTTTTTGGTCCAAACAAAAATGGATCAGAAAAGCCAATAAACTTACTTTAAGAATTCCCAATTTTAAAGATTTTCTAAATGGATTTAGGCAACTTTGAATAATGGGATTTACATAAAATCTCAGACAATACTAAACAAAAATGGCCATAACACACAAAATTAAAATTTCAATTTCACAGATTTGTTATGCCAAAAAAGTACATAGAGAAACAAAATTGTATTTACACATTTCATAATAAAATAACAAAGGCGAGACAGGTGATAAAGGGCGGTAAGAATGAAAATATAGAAATAGCATATAATTATTAAATGAAGAACTACAGATCTAACAAGTCCTTAGCCATGGATCATCCTTGAATCAGTCTTCCTCTATCAGAAAATTTTAGTGCACGATACACCCAAACTCACTCACTTCACACATACACCGGCACAAACTCAGCATAGAAATCATTCGTTACCAACATTCTCTACTCTATACAGCATCCCTCGCTGATATAATTACAATTCTGGGGCGTCAGTAAACGCAGATGAGCGCACATAGTGGTGCAGATGAAGAGGTATTGTACAAGCCATTCACGGTGCAGGCTCTACTCACAGCTACAGCCAGACCACGCCGAGTCAGTGAAAGAAGGAACTTGCTGGAGTCTAAAATAGCTTCGCTTGAGAACGGCCCTGTTGCCAACTCTATTCGTTACCGGAAAAAAAAAAACCTAACCGGGGAGAGGGAAGGGAAGGAAAGGGCAGCAGAGTTTTATATTCTTTTAGGCAGCTCTGACTTCAGCTAACCCAGCATGAGGTACGATCCCAACGACTGAACAATGCAGGGTAGTAGCTGCTTCAAAAGTTGCTTTACCGACCAGGCGATTATTTTCTACGTCTAACTGCAGCCTTTATCTTCCGACCAGAAACTGAAGATCCAGAGGCAGAGAAAATATTTTTCCCATTAGTCCTATCAAAAGAAATTAGTAGTTCAGAGTTTAGGACAGTGTAGCTGTAAATTCAGTAGCAGCACTGAGTAGATAATCCAGAACCAACTGTTTCATTGTCTTGTCTCACTAGTTACCAGCTGGCAACAAATGGCATATGATGAACAGGAGGAAGAGAGTTCCAGAAACCAAAAGCAATTAAATCTCTCTTATTCAGAAGGTAAGCAGCAGCGTAATGGCTAGATACAGATCTTACCTTTCAAGAACAAGACAATTTCACATAGGTTGATGCGTGATATTTGACAGCTAGGCTCCTTTAAAGATACTGGTGCTTAGTTAGCCACTTGGGCTAATACGCGGAAGGATGCCCAATTTAGTTTCAAACTCCAAGGTTCATCTGAACACCTCATGATTTAACAGCAGCAGAGGCTGAACACTGTCCACTGATACTACCTGAAGCTCAAGTGAAATTCTGATACGGTCTCTTACCCTGGTGTAAATGCTGGAGACTGGTTGAATGAAAATCCTGAAGAGCCAGAAGGCTGTGCCGGTGCTGCTGGTGCAGGAGGGTTTGCACCAAAAGTAAATACTCTGGGATTATTTGGTAAATTGAAGTTAGAAGTATTACTTCCAAACTGGAATACAGGACCTGGGAAGATGGGGTGGAAGCAGAAGAGAGTAAGAAAGATGAGATCTCAAGTTCATCCTTGCCAGCAAAATCCTCATGTTCTTGCCACCACCTTCAAGGAATTTTTTTACAGGTTGGTAAGGAGACAAACTGGGGGAAGGGGGGTGCACCAGAAGTGCTAGATTACTATAGGAACAGTACATAGAAAAATTAATTCACTTTAGAATCATAGAATCATAAAATCTTAGGGGTTAGAAAGGACCTCGAAAGATCATCTAGTCCAACCCCCCCTGCCAGAGCAGGGTCACCCAGAGCACATCACACAGGAACTCATCCAGGTGGGTTTTGAATGTCTCCAGTGAAGGAGACTCCACAACCTCCCTGGGCAGCCTGTCCCAGGGCTCTGTCACTCTTACAGTAAAAAATTTTTTTCAGATATTCACCTTGAACCTCCTGTGATCCAATTCGCACCCATTACCCCTTGTCCTATCACTGGTCATCACTGAGAAAAGCCTAACTCCGTCCCCCTGACACTCACCCCTTACATACTTAAATGGAGAATCATAAAGGGATTCTTGAAGTAACATTGCTGGCACATTGATAATGAATGGTTTGCAAACTTACGTACCACCATTAAGTTTCTACCTATGTATACTGAAGTTTAGATTAATAAAGTCTTAAATGATAATATGCAGATATGATACTTCAGCAAACTTCCTTGTTACTGCAGTCGATCTGGAGAGTCTTTAATGTGCTAACACAGCACCTCGTCTTAAAAAAATACTACCATCAAAAGTAACTGATAAGCAACACAGACAATCCAGGGAGTTTTTTATCTTTTTGTTGCCAGATTAATGAAAGACTGAGTAACATGGTGTGCTATCTTATCTACTGATTAGTACAAAAACATTGGTTACTTTTAACAGAGGCCGTTTTCTTGACCTTCT